ATACTACGATAATTATGTCATCGAGGAATCTTATATTATTCTCATAAAATCAAAATTTAAATACATCAAATGTGAAAATTTGACCAATATTAATGAAAAATAACTATAAATTGTCAAAACAAACAATTTGAAAATACTTTCAAACTTGAACATTTGTTTATTCTCAAGTGCTACAAGGACTTTGCATATTGTTGTCTGGAAGTACCCAAACGTCTTTTACGACATGAAAGGGCATGGTGGGTCCATTACCCTACGACTAGCCTAGAGTCTAGTCTTAGATGTTCATTAAATATAATTGAAAAGATTGCAATTAAATAATTTTTTTTCCTCTCTCTCTTCCTGCGTGGACTCTCTCTTTAGTAGAGAAGCAATATATTTAACTTAAAAAGTCTCACGTGATATTGTAGACATATTTCAATTTACTAAAATATATTTCTAGTTACTTAATGATATAATATTAATCACCATGTGTCATCCACAAATCGCACTAATGAATTTGTATTCAAGTAAGGTCCAAATTAAAATGCCACAAATATGAAAACATTGCCTAAATCAATGGAAAGGTCCTTAAACAACTTGTCACAAACACCCAATTGAATAATATTCAAATAACATGTCAATTTCAATTAAAAGGGTCAAGTCTTTGCCGTGCCTTGATCTTTCCCTCGGTTTCACATCCAAGGAGTCTCTGATTCAGACCCCATATCTACTAATAAGTTAATTTTCCATAGATAATAAATGTTATGAAAATTTCATGGCATCTATTTGGACATTCCTGTCAACTTTTTCTTAGCTGACAAATTAACGACTATATGTTCAATCTTTGCATATTCCTTTGGTTTCCACAAAATTTCACAAAAACTCTGGCTATATTTTCATCGATTATATTTCTAATATATTGATTATCTATCCTTATAAATAAAGTCTTTTTTGTCATAACCATAAACTGGAAAGTTAAACAAATCACATATTTGTGTCTCAACTACATTCAGTTTTCATTTCCAAAAGAAATCTTCCACTATTTTTTTTTTAGAAAAGTTAAAAATAA